TGTTGCTCTAAGTTAGTGGATAATAATCTACCCCTGGAAGTTAGTGTGCCATCTCTGATTTACATTTTACTTGTCCTTTCATGCTAATGAAAACAAGAAAATATACTGGAAAAATAGACAAAAATCCCCCTTCCCCCCCCCCGCGGTGAAACTATGTGTCAAGTGTGGCTCGACATACGAGCTGCTACCCATGCTAACCGTGTTGAGTCACACTCAACGTCCGAGTGCAAAGGGTTAAAACTCCACAAAGGTGATGAGTAGTTCTGCACCAGCCTTCCTGAAGGAATTTATTGAGAAATTCTTTGGTCCACCACACCTTCATTTTTCAGGAGAGGAAATGCCTTCATGTTTCTGGAACTTCTCTGTGTCTTAGTTTAGATGTTAGAGAAAATGCTATTTATAGGATTTTGTAAGAGATTTCCATCCATGCCCATTGTAAGACCACTGAAATAAAAGCAAACAAACAAAAAGAAGGTATGTGGAACAGTCCCCTGTGAATAAAATGGAGATGTTTCACCTGAAATGATGCTGGTGGGATTATGGCTGGGACAGAGCCCCTGGAGGTGGTTTGTTCATCTGGTCACCAGGTCCCAAGGAAAGATTTGCATTCCATGTGGCTTCCAGAGGGTGTGTTGTAGGGAATCTCAGGTCCTTTGTCAACATGTTCAATCATTTTGGGGAATTCGCTTCCAACTTAGTCGTTTACCAGCAGTACTCAGGGTTCAGGCTTGATGAACCTTCAGTACACCTGGTTCAGGGTTGATCCAGAAATGCTTTATAAACCCATTGCTAGATAATCACGTGATCCAATGAACCAGGGCAAATCAATTCTTCCAATGTCTTCTTTCCAGAACACTTGAAGGAATAAGCACTTAAGGAATCAGGATGTACAGGACCCAATATTCTTCTGCATCTCAAAACATTCATCAGATAAAGAAAGAGAATTTCTTCTGTTAAACAAGATTTGGGGGCCCTTAGTTAAACGGCACCATGAAGACATAGAGCAGTATGTGCCACTGTTTCCTATTTATGTTCTCTACCTGGAAAGGAAACTCCAAGATGAGCCAAACTTTCTCTGGAGAAAGATTTTACTCATTCATTCAATTAACACTACTTGTGTAGTCCTGCAGCTCTGAGGATAAACAGTCATCAATGCCTGTAACTCTTCTTATCTCCTTGGAGAGCATCAATTATATAAGCACCTCTCTAAACTTTATTTTCTAGAACCAGGTACTTAAGTCACTCACGTGGTATGATCCAGATTCTTTGAGTATAAGCAACAAAAATAAATTCTAGATTAACCAAAGCAAAAAATAAACTTATTGGGAGAAAAATAGAGAAATTCACAGAATAGACAAAAAAGCAAGGGAGTGAGTCTTCAAAAAATGCCAACACAGAGCAGCTTCAGAGGTGTAGGGAACAGTAAGCACGATCAAGATCACGTGTTGGGATGAACTTGTTGAACACCTGCTGTGGGTACAGCCAGTGCTGTGACTATTACCTGTGGCAGTTGCCTACACCATTACTGCTGTACCATTGTTACTGCAATGACCTTATTTTCATCCAAAAGATTCCAAGTCCTACGTAGACCAACTGATTGGATAAGCCCATGCTTCCAGAACTCAGGAGAAGGAAGTTCCCTCTTTCAACTTCTATGGGAGGAGGTAGGGCACTGGGTTCTACCAATACAAACACAATAGGGTAAGGAAATCTCCCCAAATTGAGGAAATAGGATGGCGGATGGCCAAAAATAAAAAAAGAGAGGTAGCATCCATCCCATATTTCAATCTTGTCCAGATATGTCCAAATCTATAGTCCATTGTGACTGTATCCAACTCCTCTCCTCCTTTGAAGATCCAATGTTGAGCATAAGGAAAACTCTTAGCTCAAAGGAACCCAGTTGATAGTCCTCACTGCTCAGATGGTTTGGTTATATATATTACAACACATTTTAATATAAAAACAAATGATCGATTTTATACATTGCATTTTCTTCAGAAAATCTAGAGCAAGGGCTCACTGTGTATTTCCATAACAGTTCAGCATTACAGATTGAAAACAACTGTTCAGAAAACAGCTGAACTTCCAGATGAAGTTGACTTCCACTTGATTGCAGAATTCAAGATTTCTCAGATATTAACACGGAGTCAAAAGCAGTGGATAAAACTTTGCAAATTGCTTGTGCTTGTTCCAGGCTGATAAATCCACAGGCTGTATTCTTCATTGCTCGCATCTGTGGTCTTCAGAGCCAATAAGCTTTTTCCTGCCCCCAGACCATCATCATAACACACCATCCGGATGATTAAATATAGAGCATGCCTGTGCAAAACATCATACTGATCTGATGTTGACACTTTTATACCATACTTGGAAACTCCCATAATAAATTCTTCCTCCAGAGGAACAAAAGGCAACTTTCCATCTTGCTGGGCAACATCTATGTAATTTATCACGTCTAGTGGCCCTTCCAGACATTTCCCCTCAGAGAGTTTCAGCTTCTCAATGGCACCAACATATTGTATTCGAAATTCCGCACAGGTATCTGAATGACTGTTGCTTTGTCCTGAGCTTCTGGTGGAATCTGTACCAAGGCTGGCCACAGTGCTGGATCGGGAAAGACCCCCAAGGCTAGAATCTACAGACTTGCTTTTAGTACTGATTTCACTACTTTTGGAACTGCTACTGCTGTATCGTTTTTTGCCTTTCTGAAACATTTTTCACCATAGCTTGATCCAGAGAAGATACCTATAGAATCAAACACTATTTTATTGTCTTCAGAGGTTCCACAGACAGCAGTATGCTCAGAAAGCGTCTTTTCATTCTGATATGACCAATTCTCTTCAGAGAAACAATGCACCTCGCTGCCCAGGGCGCATCCCTGGGGCCACCTGGGCTTCTGGGGGGGGGGGATTGGAGGGCGCCGGCCGCGGGTTCCCCGGGCAGCTACTCCAGTCCTCGCTCCAGCGCCAGCTTTTCCAGCCCTCCCCCGTGTCTGCCAGCGCCACCTCCGAGACTCGGCGCAGGCGCAGGCGCAGGCGCAGGCGCAGGCGCAGGCGCAGTCTTCGATGGTTTGGTCTTGTTTGGTCAATTCCATCACAGTGACTATATTGTTTGTGCTCATATCTATTTATTCCCTGATAAATATTAATAGGAATATCTATCTATTCTTTCCAAGAAGAATTTGAGATGGCTCACAAAAACTAATACACTGTAAAGCCCTTCAATGAAAAATGAAAACGGAAGAGTGCATAGCAAGGTGGAATGCTCTTGCATTCCGTGTGGTAGCTGTTCCTCTCCGTACTCCTTCAGTAGGGGGAGGGAGACAGGAAGATGGGATTGGCCTGGGTTCTTACATTCTCTTGGTGAGTCAAGGGGGTGCTCTGTGCCAATGGGCGAGCTTCTAGGCAATGGGCGGTTGGGTTGGCTGGGTCTGCAGGCATGGAGCATGGCTAATGCGTGTTCAGGACAAGCAAGAACTGGGCCAGTGAAGGGTCTGGAGTCAAGGCAAGGGTTGGCCAGGTGATTAAGAGGGGACTGTGGATGGACGGGCTAGAGGAGGAACCCAGCAGGCTGGCTGCTGGTTGATAGATCACAGCTGAAACTGAAGAAAGCAAAAGGGGAGGGATACAAGGGCGGGCTGAGGTCAGAGGACAAGGCTGGGATTTCACCTAGACACATGCCACTCCTGCTGACAATGGCTTCTGCCAAGAGCTGCCTCTTAGAAAGGAAGCTGGAAGTGGTCTTCCCAGAGCACCCAGAGTGGCAGTTGTGCATCTTCAGTACATACTACTCTTTAATCAGGAAAAAAAAAAATCATGTTATGTTTTGAAATGGACCTTCCAGACAAGAAGATATGGTAGAAGGAGGCCTGAGTTTTGTTTGAATCCACCTCTTCTATTGAGCAGCCATGTGACATTGAGCAGGTCAAATTTCTCATGGCCTTAATTTACTTCTACAAAATAAGGACATTGGGCTAAATATTGCCTAGAGGCTCTTCGAGCTCTAGAAATGACTAGACCATTCTGGGGCATGAGGGATGATGCCGCCAGTGTACTCCCAGAAGAAAGTCACGGACGCTAGCCTTGCTCTGAGTCTTCTTTCTCCGGAAGCTGACTCTGGGAGAAGAGAACTTCCTCGGAAACCACAGCTGCTGAAACGGCCTCAAAGGGAGTTATACTTAATTCCTGTTTCCTAACATCCTGAATGTGAAGCCCAACAGAACTGATAATGGGGGTACTTCCCCCAAATTGCAACCACAAACTGAAAGGGGGGAAACCATGCTACCCAAGGACATGTTCAGTGGTGGGCAACTGCGGCCAGGAATAACAAACCTGACCAGTTCACAGCTCAAGAATGCACAGTGGCAGCCCAGTGAGGATTTCCTTTTTTCCAAGACAAACCATGTTGGCTCTGATGAAACTCCCGGTTATGGGTAAATCCCCCTCCTTTACTCATGTTATTCTTCCCAAGAAGACATTTCATCAACAGGTGTTTTTATGGAAATCTTTGAAATTCTTCAATCACTGTAAGTGGACTACAATTATCAGCCTCTTCATTGAGTGATTTATTGAGTGTCTTTATGCATCAGGCACTATGCCAAAGGTCAGAACCCCACAGTAAACAACACTGACATGACCATTGCCATGTGGGACATGGAAGACATGCAGCTGAAAGCAAATACATATATAAACACAATGAGTGAGCCAGGTGCAATGGCTCATGCCTGTAATCCTAGCACTCTGGGAGGCTGAGGAGGGAAGATTGCTTGAGTTCAGGAGTTCAAGACCAGCCAGAGAAAGAGCAACACCCCATCTCTACTACAAATAGAAAAATTAGCCAGGCATTGTGGTACTCACCTATGGTCCCAGCTACTCAGGAAGCTGAGGCAGGAGGATTGCTTGATCCCAGGAGTTTGAGGCTGCAGTGAGCTGCGATGATGCCACTGCACACTACACAGGGTGACCAAATTAGATTTTCTCTCTCTCTCACACACACACACACACGCACACGCACACACACACACACACACACACACACACGAGTGCTACAAAAAAAGAAACAGGGTGCAGTGCAGGCATGGAGAATAATGGGGAGCAGATGTGGATAGGGTGATTAGAGAAGGTCTCTCCATGAAGGTGACATCCCCACATGATGATAAGGAGACACTCGTGAAACACAGGGTGGGGTAGGAGCAGTGTGTTGGGGTGTGAGTGTGCATACACTGAGGAAAAGGGAAGTTGTAGATTCTCTGGCAGAGGGAAGAACAGGTTGGTAGAAAACTCAACTGATTCCAGGAGCTGAAAGAAGTTCTATGTGGATGAAGCGAAAGGGAAGATGATATGGAATGAGACTGGTGAGTTTGGCAGAGCCCAGATCACACAAAACTTTTGTAAAAATCTTATATTTTCCCCTAAGTTTTTGTTTTAAATTCAATAGGAAAGCATCGGGGTATTTTAGACAGAGAAATAACATAATCTTATTTCCATTTTCTGCTTGTTTTGTGGACAACAAAATAAAAATAGGAAAAATAGGAATAAAAGTGGAAGCAAGAAGTCCAGGTAGGAGACTACTATTGTAGTTCAGGGAAGAGATAATGAGAGCTTGGACTAAGTTAGTTATTCTCAGTTCCCCAGGGGACACTTGGCAGTGTTTGGAGACATTTTTGATGGTCACAGCCGGGGAATGCTATTGACATCCACTGGGTACAGGCCAGTGATGCTGCTAAACACCCTAAAATGCACACAACGGCCCCCACAACAAAGAATTAGCCAGCCCAAAATGTCAGTAGTTCCAAGGTTAAAAAAAAAAAACCTCTAGGCTCAGTGATGGCAGGAGAAATGGAAAGAAATAATTGAACTCAAAACACATGGTGAGGCTAAAATGACCAGGAACTCCAAATGGATTAAATGTGGAGAGTGAGGGAAAGAAATAACCCGCAGATGGCTTTCAGATTTCTGTCTTGAGTAACGTGTCACGAGAACATGTTGGAAGAATACGTATAAAAATTTCTGTCTAGCAGATAGAACCAATTACTTCGTTTCAAATTCCAAATCTTACTATTTACCAATTGTGGGTTGCAAGACACACAACCACTCCATGACTCGGTTTCCCATCCATAGCATGGACATGACAATGTACTTACTTCAAAGTCCCCCTGAAAGTTGAGTCCCTGAAAATGACAATGGGATTTGGCCTAGATAGGAAAACAGAGGTTTAAGTTCTCCAATAATGAGGCGTGTGCCCAGCAGGTTGGGGACTGAGGGCAGAAAGGAGAGAGAGCAAGATTAGCAAGAGAGCACAAAGAGGCTGGAGGCATGAGGAACAAGAGGTGGCACTTCCTCCACCTCCCGAACCTGACGTACATGGGGTGTGAGCAAATAAACAGCCCCTGATTGAGATCCGTGGAGGTAAAGTGCTGGACTCAGGGGCTGCCAGGGCCCACGCAGGGCAGTGGGGTGGGGTTCAGAGGGGAGGTCACATCATCTTCAACCCCTGCCTGCACAAGGCGAGGTCAGTGACACAACACAAGGTCCAAGCCTGCTTGGTCAGAGCCTCTTCCACTCCCACCCCTCCATTCCTCACTTTCAGTGCAGGGGGAGGATTTTCAAAAGTTTGCAGACTAAAAATAACCATAGAGCAAGCTAATTAAGTGGTACGAGTGGTTTAAACAAAAGCCCACACTCAGCGCCAATGTGGATTAGGTGGAGGCTGTTTCTATGTAATAGACACTGTTTTGAGAGCATCCCTTCCAGCATTCGGGTTCAAAACATACTTTTAAGTTTTGTTTTAAACCTGTAGGTTCAAAACACATTATCAGAAAAAGAGAAGTTGTCCAGTTAACCTCAAGTTTGCTGTGGTCTTTTAAATCTGATCCTCATCCTTGCACGTCGCAGATACTCCAAAGCTGCTCATGGTAAGTGTCCGAGAGCTATCAGGGATAGCTCTGTTGTAACAATTAACATTTACTGAGTGCCAACTGTGTCCCTGGCTTTATCCTAGGCAATGTTCCTACATTATTGTGTTGGTTGTTTTCAAAACCTTTATAGGTTTTTATCCCATTTTACCTATTGGGGAAATGAGACATTGGAGAGTTAAGTGACTTGTCCGAGGTCACCAGCCATAAGGGATCAAGAAGAGTCCGCCTGCAGAGTTTGCACTTTAAGTATCTGGCCATACTGCCACATACCACAGCAACACATGGGCTCTTACTGTTCCTTCGTCTTCCACAGCAGACAATGCTGGTGGGTTACAGAACAATCCTGCGAAGCTTCATCACTAATCCATTGCTCTGGGGCTCCTCCCAGGTGATGAGAGTGGGCACTAGAAAGAAAGTCTCTCTGCTGTTCCCCAGACCCTCCTCCTTTGCCTACCCCCGATTCTCCCCGGGTCCTGTCTCTGCTCCACTCCAAGGGCTGGTTCTGCTCTGCCTCTGAGCCTCTCTGCTTGGCATATAGTCCTGGTCTTTTCCAAGTTTGACTCAGGCTGAGATCTGGCCCCAGCCCCTCTTGCCCTCTTTCTAGTCTCCCCGTCATCCCACCCCGATCCCGAGCCAGCTCTGTGATTCAGTTAGTGTCAGTGAATGTCTGAGCTGCAGAGGTAACGTAGCTGCAACAGGAAGGACAGAAAAGGCAGTGTCAGGAGCAAATCCATCCTCCGAATCCTGGGCTTTGTGCCAGCTACAAAAACTTTTGTGCGAAAAATGTAAATACTCAACTTTAGATGGATCAAGTTCTAATGATCTTACAGGTGGAAATATGCCACTGAATGATGCTGTCAATGTCTTTTTTAAATGGCAGAGAAAAAGGCCTCAGTTTTAATCAACTGAATCACAAACACAGGAAAATCTTTTCATTTTGAAGGATAACTCAGATATACGTTGTGCTTTGAAGGTGCTAAAGGGTGTGCCAGTCAAATTTAGGCCCTCTCAGGCCCTTTGCAGTCCCAGCATTCTGGGTCAACACAGCTTGGGTTTCAGAAGCTCTTGTCCTCATCTGCTTTTACTTCTAGGAGTCTAGGAGGGGCCCCATGTGTACTTGTAAGAGACCCGTCAGTTTCCACAGCTCATCTGATATCCTCTTTTCTTTCCTCCTCTGCTCTGCCCCCTATTTTGCCCACTGCCACTGCCTGCAGGGGGCCCTGGGAGCTGCCTCTGTGGGGTCTAAAGTCTAAAGTCACCCATCACCACCACGGCAGCCATGGGCACTAATGTCCTCACAGCACCAAAGCCCTTTTAGGATTTGCACACTCTAGTGTTGAAACCTGGAGCAGGACTGCCAGACTCTGCCCCAGTCATCAGAACCCAGGACCACTTGCTAAGAGGCTTGTTAAGTTGCTGTGAAACCTTTCAGAGGCACCATTCAAATTCCTGACAGCATTTCAATCTTTTCTCAATTTCCACAAAGAACAACATGGGTTGGCTGGACACCCAAGGCCCACAAAACACAGGGCTGAGCTCATCTGTCCCTGGAAACCATTGAGGCAAACCCATTCTCTGAGCAGCCAGGACGAGCTATAATTAGAAGCCCAGTGAGTCACAGCTCATGGCAGTTAGCTCAGAAGCGCTCACTCATAAAATAAGACACCAGCCTGCCATCTGCTTACGCTCATCCTGGGTGTCAGAATTCGGCCTTGTACGAGGACTAAGGGACTCGGTTGGAGAGAAGAAAAATACGCTGAGCACCCTGAAGATAGCATCTGGACAGGAAGTCCAGACAAAGTGATACAAATTTTCACTAGACAAAAAAATTCCCTTCACCACAGATAATTTCTCTTTAATTTTTCTTCAGGTGGTGCAGCTGCTAATTTAAGCCCTTTACTTACTTTCCCAGCAGTGACTTCATTGTATGATTTTACTGTATATCCTTACAGGCCTGGTGGATTCAGAAAGAATAAGGGCTTTAAAATCCCAGCTCCACTACCTACTGGCTGTGCGACCACAAACAAGCCTGCCAAGTTTTCTAAATGTTAGTCCCCGTATTTACAAAACGGGGTTTTTATGAAGGTTAAAACAGTATGATAATAATGTATGCAAAGCATCTGGCACAAGATCTCACACGTGATTGGTGATTAATAAGTGTCAGTCTCTATGAGAATTCATCAGATGATACTGATTCTAGGTTTTCCGTCAGACACAGAACTCACCCTTCAAAGTCCTTATGCTGTTTCAGCTCAGCAGACACCTTGTCTCAGGAAAGCCATTAGAAAGCCCCAAAGTACTATCTTTTTCTCCTGGTAAGTAGCTCACTTCCCACAACTTCCCACCACTTTGCATTAAGTGAGCTCAACAAATGAGTCACACTACTTACAGAAGCAAATGTGGGAGCCACACCCAAAACAGAGGCATCTTGACTTTTCCCAAGAAGCTGTCAGTGCCACCAAAAAAGAGGGCTTGGGGAACCCACAGTTAGAAAACCCTGAACTCCCAAGCTACCTTAAGCTACCTCTGAATTCATATGCAAACTCAAGAGCATAATTCATTTCTTTCAGTAAATTTTTATCCACAGCAGTCAATGACAGCTGAGAGTCGCTTTTTGGCTATTTAGAAGGTGATTATTTATTTTTTGAAAACATTTATCACAACATTTAAATTATGAATTTGATTTTCAAGAATTTGAGAATTCTTAAAAATTGTATAGAAATTGGCATACCTTTATTTAGATCAGCCCTTTGTAACCGGCAGGCAGCAGAGTGAAGTAGAAAGTGCATGGGGTCACAGTCAGAAGACCAGGATTTAAGTGTTTAAGTGCTACTTTTGCCATTTACTAAATGATTTAGGGCAGGTTTTTGAGTCTCAGAGGTTTACATATAAAGTGAAGGAAACTTACATATCTTGTAGGGTCTCAAAACAATGAAGCATATGAAAGTACATGGAAAACTTAATGCAATATAAAATGTTGGATTGTTTTTAAAAGTAATCCCCTTATCTTTACATTTGCCCAATAGTCCTAGTACTAATTGCTTAAATTAATTTTGTTGGTCTCTCTTTGCATCCTTCCAAATTAATGTATATTTTTGAAAGCTACAGCCTTTCAAAATGAATGGAAAACTCTATATTCATGATTGATGGCTAGAATAAAGATTGTTACATAGGATCTAATGATCATATATCCAAAAATTTAGTTTTCCTAGGTGAGGTACATTGTGTGCAAAAATGGCCACATTGTTCCCTTCTCTGTACTAGCTCTTTGTAATGCTACTTTGCAACTCTTGCCATCAGAAGGTGGTTATCTGTTTCCCTACTCCTTGAATCTGGGCTGGCTTTGTGACTTAGGCCACTAGAAGGGCACAAAAGTAGTGATGTATAAGCTCTAAGTCTTGTACTCAAGAGACTGTGCAGCTTCCAATCTTACTCCTAGAATCCTGCTGCCATCATATGGATGAATCTGGGCTAGCCTGCTGGTTGATGAGTAACATAACCTCACCAAACCCACTTTCTTTCTTTTTTTTTTTTTTGAGACAGAGTCTCACTTTGTTGCCCAGGCTAGAGTGAGTGCCGTGGCGTCAGCCTGGCTCACAGCAACCTCAATCTCCTGGGCTCAGCGATCCTACTGCCTCAGCCTCCCGAGTAGCTGGGACTACAGGCATGCGCCACCATGCCCGGCTAATTTTTTGTATATATATTTTTAGTTGGTCAATTAATTTCTTTCTATTTTTGGTAGAGACGGGGTCTCGCTCAGGCTGGTTTCGAACTCCTGACCTTGAGCAATCCGCCCGCCTCGGCCTCCCAAAGTGCTAGGATTACAGGCGTGAGCCACCACGCTCGGCCAAACCCACTTTCAATCCAGTCAATGAATGGCTAACAGCCATATGAGTGAGCAAGGCCATCCCGGGTCAGGCAGCACCCAGTTGACTGATCAGCCGAACACAAATGAATGATTAACTGGGCTAGAACTGGAGAAGCAGAACCATCCACTCACCCCTAGACTTGTGAGTAATGATACGGATTATTCTTTTAAGGTGCTAATTTGGGTTTTTGTTTTTTTTTTTTACACAATAATAGATAACTGATACACAGTTTTTCTGTATTATTTTAAAAGGAACCCCCTCATAACATGGCAGACTCAAGTAACAGAGATGGGGTCCTTCCCTGTAAAAACCCAAAGAAATCCTGGCTGAACTACATGGCAAGTTCAAAGGAAATAAAGGAAATCCCCAAGGGCAAGATAAGGAGAACTTGAATATGTAGCAATAAGCAAAGGCTGATGTTGTAGCCTATGGGCAAATAACTTTGCATACAGTTCCGGCATTAATGATTGGGGACCAAAATTCTAATGCTCACATAAAGACACAAGATTTGCCTGAGCCATAAGAAATGGAGAGCCAGAGCTGAAAAACTTGCTATATAGTAAACCTGGAACCGCAAAGAGCTGTTCTTGTTGATGAAAAACCAGGCTAGAAAATGTTTGTCTGCTGACTCAGTGAAATATATAGGAAGCCTGATACTTAGCAAGTTCATAAGTAAAGAAAAAAGTTGTCTTTGAGATATAAACACTTCAAGCTTGTAAAAAACACAAACATTTCATTGTATGAAAATCCCATCCAACGAATAAACAGTAAAACTGGTTTAAGATCATTGAAAGTCCTAGAAATAGAAACTAATATAAAACATTTATTTACGGACACTTCCCAAATCCAGGATGCAAGGGCCCTCTGCTAGATATAAACTCACAATATCAACAGCAGCAAAATGTGAGGGAATAAGCCACCATAATAGAGAGCCATCAGGCACAATAAACAAGAGACTTAGAACCCTAGGAGCTGGACTTGGTAGGACAATCTAACAGGGGCATCAAATGATTGAAGGAGTTTTAAGAAAGATGGGAGTGAATAATATCCATAGTGAAAGAAGAGGACAGTATAGGGGGGAAAAACAGATTTGAAAAAAAAAACACCTAATAAAATTAAGAACTAACA